ATAGTTCGGATGTGTTATAACGTCAAATCTAAATAACATTGTTCTTACGAATTCTGACAGTTGCACTGAACGTTCGTTTAGGTATTATTAGCGTAACAGTTGGATGTGTGAATAAAAATATATACGAAGACTACGGCGGGATTCATGGAGAATTTCGAAGGTCGTTTAGATATTTTCCGCTACAGCGTTTACTCAACAACTAACTATTACTAAATAATGATTTATTGTAATCAAAGGTTAAAATGATGTAACTATATAAAATCCACAAGTTTCGCATAAACCCATCATTTTTTGATTTGTTAATGGTGCACCTAATTATTAATGTGATTTAAATTATTTAACTCTCTAGCTTGAATTAATCTATAATAACATTGTGTTAGTTTGTTATTAGTTTCGAGCCATGAATAGAGGTGGTTTTATCTACTTAATTTTCTGTGGGTGTTGTATATCAATCCCCTTCCTACAGTAATGATTTAATTTGGAACACTACTCTCAATAGATGAACTTAGAGTATGAATCACTCAGAATAACTTTTGCTCCTCAGTACATGAGACGATTCGTTCGTCGTAAACTTAACAATGTAACAATAGCGAATATTGTAGGCTCAACCGGTAGCTGATTTTTATATTAGAATTTACATATACATTGCGTGGAATCATTTGAAGAAGAGTGAGAAAATTGCTTCCATCCATACAAGTAAGACTTTCACAATTCACTATCATTTTTGAAATAATTTGTCAGCTTCCAGAAAATAGTATTTGAGAAAACCGGGATCAGTATTTTGTGGCATATCAGTTCCAAGAATTCCATGTAATATCTTCCTTTATCAAGTAAATTTGTATAATATTTTATTAGTTATGTAACAATTTGATTGGAACCTTTGAATCAGTGTGCAAACTGGATAATTTTTGGAATATGTCGCCTAGTGTACTTCGGGTTGACGATTATTTTATTAGGTGTATACTTAACTTCATCGATGTTTCTTTTCGTGTTATTGAAAATTTGGTTGAAAGAATTGACATCGGGATGAAAAATGCAATAATATTTTCATCTCCACACTAGCCTTTATGATATGCCTGACAGTGAAAAGGTTTAAAACTACCGGTCCAATTTAAGGTTTAATACTTGACTGAAGCTGTGAATCGTGACCATTAAAGAATAACCCAGTTTTCTATGGATAACTTGAATAACACATGACCTAAAATTCCTGAGTTCAACTTATAAAAGACAGCAGCGTATGCCCTAAGATCTAATAATTTCATTAGTTATGCACAATAACTATCATATACATAGATGAATTAATAAATAAATACACAAATACATATACACATACTTAATTACTTATCCTTCGTGTATGGACCAGGATTCTCCAACGTACTCTGTCCTGGGCTCATTATAACGGTTGTTTTGAGTTCCTATTCAATCTTTTGATGTCTCCTTCGGATTCCCGGCACAATGTGTTCCTTTTTCGTCCTATTTTCCTCTTCACTTTCGATTTCAAAGTCGGGGCTTTACTCGTGATGCAGTTTGGTGAATTTCCACAATGTATATGTTAACCACCTTCAGCTGGAAGCTGGTTTGTTCTTTTTCACAGTAGGTTGTTGTTAATAGTATCTGACCAACTGTTCTAGAGTATCTTGCATAGACAACTGTTTATAAATACTTGTACCTTTTTGATGATGGTTATAGTACTTCTCCAAGTTCAGGCTCCGTGCAGTGGAACTTTCCTGATGTTCGTATTAACGATTGTGACTCTGATATTAGTTGACAGTTGTTTTGAGTTTGAGATGTTCCTCAACTATATGAAGGCTACCCTTACTTACCCAATCCCTGCCTTTACGTCTACACCAGATCCTCCGTGTTTATCGATGATGCTATCCAGATACGTGAAAATTTTCACCTCTTCCAAAGACTCTTCATTAAGTGTGATTGGATTGTTGCTCACTGTGCTTTAATATAGGATGTTGCATTCTCGCATATCGAGGCCTACTGATGTAGCGGCTGTTGATGCACTGGATGTCATCACCTGCATTCATTAATATGTATAAAATAAAAGAGCAATATCATCTGCAAAGTCCAAATCGTCCGGTTGCACCTTAGCTATCCATTGTATTCCATGATTCCCCTAAGATAAATAGGTCTTCATAATCCAGTCTAATGCCGGGTGGACGATAAAAGGCGAGAAATTACAGCCTTGTCTGACTCCGATCCTTACTTTGAATTCGACTGTCAGCTGTCCTTCATGCACGACTTTGCAGTGTAGTGCTTCGTATGAATTCCGTGTGATATTGACGATCTTCTAATCTAATTACTCCATACTATTGAAGAAAGTTCCATAAAGTTCCTTTATTCACTCTGTCAAGTGCTTTCCCATATTAAATGAAGGTGATGTATAGTGACGAGTTCCATTCAATTGATTGTTCAACGATGATCCGCAGTGTCGCGATTCGATCGATATACTATTGATCCTTACGGAATGCAGCCTGTTGATCTTGAAATTGAGCATCTACTGAATCTTTCACCCGGTTCAACAAAACTCTGCTGATACCTTTTCCTGGTAATGATAGTATTGTAATGCCTCCGTAGTTCTCACACTTGCTGAGAATTCCTTTCTTTGGCATCTTGATGAGGTGTCCCTCTTTCTAGTCCGTCAGCACTTGTTCCTCTTCCCAAATCCTCTTGAATGGAAAGTGAAGCATGTTTGTAGCTACTTCAATATCAGACTTCAGTGCTTCAGCTGGTATATTATCAGGTCCTGCTGCTTTCCCACTGATGATTTGTCTGGTGCTCATCCTGATTTCTTCAGTCGTTGGTGGAGTGACATCTATAGGAAGGCCTGTGTGTTACTTTGACGTCCGGTGGGTTCAGTGGGGTTGGTCTATTCAAGAGTTCTTCAAACTATTTTACCCACGTGTCCCTCTGTTCTTGAATTCCAGTAATTGGCTTGACTTCGTCCTTGACCGGTCTCTCTGGTTTACCATATTTCCCTCTTGCATCCTTGGTTTTGACACATGATCGTTTTATATTGCCTCTTCTTACAGCCTTTTCCACGATCGTTTCTAGATCTACGTTTTTCCGTTTATCAGCACTAGTGCTCTTGGACACTTGCTTGTTTGCTTCAGTGTACTCAGCTTGTGTCTTAACTTTCTCTGTTCTTGTTCGACTATTGTTAATTGCTGTCTTCTTGTTCTTCCTTTCATGAATCTTGTCCAGTGTTTCCATAGAGATCCACTCATTATGACGAGGCCCAGAACCGCTTGGTACGTTGAAGTTAGTACTTCTTTGATCGATTTCCAGCTGTCCTCCATAGTAGTTTTTTCGCCTTTCAGCAGATCTCTAAGGCTTTGAACCTGTTGTTGAAAACTATCTTGAGTTTGTTGAGTTTGTCAGTACGTCGAAAGGTGGCTGCATTGAACCTTCATGATATTGTTTGTCCAGTTGTCCAATGCTTCTTTAGCTTCAATTTCATCTTGTCAACTACCAGGTGGTGATCTGAAGCTATGTGAGCTCCTCTCTCTGTTCTCACGTTTTCTATTGACCTTGTGAATTTTTTACCGATGCATTTATGATCGATCTGGTTTCCTATCAGATAGCTTCTTGGACACTTCTATATTATGATTGCAGCCTGTCGTGAGACTGATCTTTATCGTAGTAATTACTATCATTGGTGGGTGCATAACATTGGATAACATTCATTGTGATTTTCTCCTTCTTTGTTTTGTGTGATGGTTTGATTATTATGGATCTATGAGATTCCTACCTCCTAAGTGCTCGTTGGGCCCCTTTGAACAGCATCAGAGAAACCCCCTGAGTGCGTGGGGCATTTTCTTCTCAGTGGCCAGAGTACAGCAGCATCTCCACGTACCTAACCTTTGCTTTCCAGCTTGAGTGAATGGGTTTCGCCGATTCCGAGCATCATCAAGTTGTATCTTCTCATTTCCTTAGCTGTTTGACTGGTCCTTCCGGTCTCTCACATTGTCTGGAAACTACATGCACCTATATTAATTGTTGCTCTGGTTGTTAGAGAAGGCATCAGCCTCGTGACTTCCGAGGAATCTCGGCCTTTACCGGGAAGCTTCATAATTCTTCTCTCAACTCGGAGGACATAGTTTAAATGGCTTAAATTAGTTTTTCCGGTTAGCGTTTTTAGCAACCTCCTGTAGGACTGAGATGTAATCACAATTGATTGATCACTGGGTGGTGATCAATCACATCACGGCTCGGATAGCTCAGTGGTAACGTCTCTGACTGTGAAGCTGGGTGACACGAGATCGAATCCGCCAGGGAGCACCAGTTCCCTCAAGATTACAGGTACACCTTGCTGACGAGTGCCAAGTAGCACGAAACCCGGGTCCAGGGTTTCCTGTTGACTACCTCCAACCACCATCTAATCTCAATACATAGTGCCCGCAGTGTCGAGTCACCTAGACTGGTGGCCACATTGCAACATGATCGATAGCATTCGATCTGCACTAATAAGGACTAGACAAGCATGAGATTGATCACCACCCAGTGATCAATCAATTGTGATTACATCTCAGTCCTACAGGAGGTTAGTCACGGCTCGGATAGCTCAGTGGTAACGTCTCTGACTGTGAAGCTGGGTGACACGAGATCGAATCCGCCAGGGAGCACCAGTTCCCTCAAGATTACAGGTACACCTTGCTGACGAGTGCCAAGTAGCACGAAACCCGGGTCCAGGGTTTCCTGTTGACTACCTCCAACCACCATCTAAACATCATTCTTCTTTCTACCTGTTTTCAGATATTTACTTCCTTCATTCTCTCTTTTAAAATGACTTTTATCGCTCATTACCAAACTAACATCAATAAATTGTTAAAAGGAGAACATGGGACAAACTTGGTAACTTTAAAGATAATCATTATAAATTTCGTTACAAATGGGAATTGAATCAATTAGCCTAAATATTGGAGGTCATATTACGTTTGTTTATTTATTCTTAAAAATCAATTGTTCAAAAAAGACAGGAAAAAACCGATTCACTTGTTTGATGATGATGATGATGATGATGATGATGATGATGATGATGATGATGATGATGATGATGATGATGATGATGATGATGATGATGATGATGATGATGATGATGATGATGATGATGATGATGATGATGATGATGATGATGATGATGATGATGATGATGATGATGATGATGATGATGATGATGATGATGATGATGATGATGATGATGATGATGATGATGATGATGATGATGATGATGATGATGATGATGATGATGATGATGATGATGATGATGATGATGATGATGATGATGATGATGATGATGATGATGATGATGATGATGATGATGATGATGATGATGATGATGATGATGATGATGATGATGATGATGATGATGATGATGATGATGATGATGATGATGATGATGATGATGATGATGATGATGATGATGATGATGATGATGATGATGATGATGATGATGATGATGATGATGATGATGATGATGATGATGATGATGATGATGATGATGATGATGATGATGATGATGATGATGATGATGATGATGATGATGATGATGATGATGATGATGATGATGATGATGATGATGATGATGATGATGATGATGATGATGATGATGATGATGATGATGATGATGATGATGATGATGATGATGATGATGATGATGATGATGATGATGATGATGATGATGATGATGATGATGATGATGATGATGATGATGATGATGATGATGATGATGATGATGATGATGATGATGATGATGATGATGATGATGATGATGATGATGATGATGATGATGATGATGATGATGATGATGATGATGATGATGATGATGATGATGATGATGATGATGATGATGATGATGATGATGATGATGATGATGATGATGATGATGATGATGATGATGATGATGATGATGATGATGATGATGATGATGATGATGATGATGATGATGATGATGATGATGATGATGATGATGATGATGATGATGATGATGATGATGATGATGATGATGATGATGATGATGATGATGATGATGATGATGATGATGATGATGATGATGATGATGATGATGATGATGATGATGATGATGATGATGATGATGATGATGATGATGATGATGATGATGATGATGATGATGATGATGATGATGATGATGATGATGATGATGATGATGATGATGATGATGATGATGATGATGATGATGATGATGATGATGATGATGATGATGATGATGATGATGATGATGATGATGATGATGATGATGATGATGATGATGATGATGATGATGATGATGATGATGATGATGATGATGATGATGATGATGATGATGATGATGATGATGATGATGATGATGATGATGATGATGATGATGATGATGATGATGATGATGATGATGATGATGATGATGATGATGATGATGATGATGATGATGATGATGATGATGATGATGATGATGATGATGATGATGATGATGATGATGATGATGATGATGATGATGATGATGATGATGATGATGATGATGATGATGATGATGATGATGATGATGATGATGATGATGATGATGATGATGATGATGATGATGATGATGATGATGATGATGATGATGATGATGATGATGATGATGATGATGATGATGATGATGATGATGATGATGATGATGATGATGATGATGATGATGATGATGATGATGATGATGATGATGATGATGATGATGATGATGATGATGATGATGATGATGATGATGATGATGATGATGATGATGATGATGATGATGATGATGATGATGATGATGATGATGATGATGATGATGATGATGATGATGATGATGATGATGATGATGATGATGATGATGATGATGATGATGATGATGATGATGATGATGATGATGATGATGATGATGATGATGATGATGATGATGATGATGATGATGATGATGATGATGATGATGATGATGATGATGATGATGATGATGATGATGATGATGATGATGATGATGATGATGATGATGATGATGATGATGATGATGATGATGATGATGATGATGATGATGATGATGATGATGATGATGATGATGATGATGATGATGATGATGATGATGATGATGATGATGATGATGATGATGATGATGATGATGATGATGATGATGATGATGATGATGATGATGATGATGATGATGATGATGATGATGATGATGATGATGATGATGATGATGATGATGATGATGATGATGATGATGATGATGATGATGATGATGATGATGATGATGATGATGATGATGATGATGATGATGATGATGATGATGATGATGATGATGATGATGATGATGATGATGATGATGATGATGATGATGATGATGATGATGATGATGATGATGATGATGATGATGATGATGATGATGATGATGATGATGATGATGATGATGATGATGATGATGATGATGATGATGATGATGATAATGACAAAAATAACAATGTTAATAACATCCATTACAATATTTTTGTCTTATCGATTTAACTTGGCATAGACATTAAACATTTAAAGAAGATAAAGAAAAAAAACGTGACGACTCAAAATTTGATTCTTATTTGTCTAGTTTCTAGGTTGTTCTGATGTTATTGTTATTGTGTTTTTTTAATTTCTTACTGTTACTATGACATTATATACTATTGTTTGTTTGTATTTCACCAACTTGTATAGAACATATTCAGGGTCATGAATACTTACTATATTGAAAATTGATAGAAAGAATTCTTTTCCCTTAGTTTACAAGAGATTATAGTACACCTACACACCTACACACACACATACACTTAACATCATTAATGGATATCGTTTGATTCACTGTGAGTATAACCTATACAGAATATTATTTTGAATAAAATCAAACTAGGCGTTAATAAAATTACTGTATAATTATGAGAGAGAGGGAGAGAGAGGAAAGTTTATCATGTAAAAATCAGTTGCTATACACAAGTTATTTTTTCTATCTGACTCATAGATCTTTATAAACCAGATATTTATAATAAGCGATATTTGATTTGTCATATCAAATATTTGATAAATAAGAGAATAAGAAAACAGGGCTCAACTATAATTTTAAGAAGATAAAGTTGATCAGATAATGTTTTAGTATAATATCTGATTCATTTCATTCAAGTCTAATTGGGATATGAATTGATAGAAGTTCAACCTTATTGGTTAGTTTATAACCTCTCCATTTTATATTTGACTCATCAGTTGTTATCAACTTCCATCTTGGTCAAATATCTGTGTAGAAATTACGACGCCAATCCCTTAAGATATATATATGTATATATAATTATCAGAATGAGTTTTGTGGAGATTTTTAGTAAATTTCACAGGTTGAAAACCCGCGGGGGGCGGGTTCGTGGATGCGCGCTGCTGAGGAGTCCCATACTAGGACGAAACGGCCGTCCAGTGCTTCCAGGTTTTCAATGGTGGTCTAGCTTCAACTGACTCATGATTTCAACCTGTGAAATATATACAATTCTCAATGGAACGAAATTCATATCCTATTTGAATACAATTTCTCCAAGAGGTAGTATCAACTAAAAAAACTGTTATAAACGAAGAAGTCACAGTCAAATGTAATTGTCTGGGAAAAAGTAATGTAACTAGGTAGATAACAATTAGGGCACTCACATTCATACTCAACATTAATGTGATCACAGTGAAACCTAAATACCAAAGATTCGATCTCATAGAAAGCTGAAGATGAATAAGAGTGAAGGGTTTTTAGTTAAGATTGAATGATTGTTTAATTAGATCTGTTTTTAAATCATTCGCTCAGTAATTTAGTTTCATAATGGAAACTACCTTTGAATTGAAGAAAAACGTGGTTCTGTAGAGGCTAATTTCCTCTATATCTGACTCAAATAAATAGTATCCCGTTAACTGAGTATTTAATGCAGGCTAAATCTCCTAGTAGAATTACAGATATAATCGAGATTACTCCAAAGCCTAAACACCAGTTATAGAGATAGTTTAATGTTAAAGATTGGTAAAGTCCGCAAGCGTACAGGAAGCAAGCACACAGGGAAAACAAGAGTGTGTGTGTGTGTGTTAAAAATCCATATATATTTTATGAGTGTTAATCGAATATGGATAAATAATTGATTGTCTGTGTGTTACAACCAATGGGAGAATAGGTTAAAGGTTGATTTGCAAACATGTGCTCAATCAGACTCACACAGAAATTTACATAATGGATTAAATGTCTAAATTACAATGAGCAGATAAATAATACAGTAGTTGAATGAGCTTACTGCAGTTCTATAAAATAATAGCCTGTTTTCGATTTTTTTCTAAAATTCTACATTCATTTAAAGAGAAGTACATCATTAATATTCATAATAAATGGTTGATAAAGACGCAATAATATAATCCTAATACTTAATTAATTCTCATTTGATGACAATTATCCAATTACTATCATTGATAGATGCAGACTACTTGGTTGTGGTCCGCGTGACTATCGTAACCCATGGTTGGATACTCTGGGTGAAATGGCTCATGATCGATCACAATGGCCTAGGTGTATATACTCTTTGTTTCTGCTTAAACCGTGAGATTAAAACTGCTTAATATCTTGCTTTCTACCAACTAATTCCTTCTTCTTGTACTATATCCTTATACACAATCTTTCTTTTATATATTACTACCACTGAAGTAACTACTTCTACGAATTCGGTGTTTATCTTGTTGTGCTAATGCTGTATGACAACTTGGATTGATGCATATATATGCCTGGTCCTACAATGCAGCTAACTGACTGATCATTTCCTAAAACTGTAGTGAAGAATAGCATGTTAAGTAATCACATGAAATCGATACTACTACTACGTAAAAAACGATGAAATTTGAGAATGAAGGATTGACAAACTTTTATGCAGTTGTGGAAAATTATAGTTCATTGTTATTCTTTCAACTATATCTATGGATGCTCTCAAATGAGATGAAGTTCATTTTAACATTGATGATTTTTTTCTTCAGAAATATATGAAATGTCTAGTTAGAAGTTATCATAATTCTTATAAGCCACACTATATAAAAATATACATACAAGGTTTCTGGTGATATCTCAGTACTGTATTGAGTGCCAATGTCATTCAATTGAGTTGAATAATCTTTAAAACTGTCTGATAAAACACATAATTATAAAGTTTCACAGCTATTTCTCAACTTCTTTAACCATCTCACCGTCTTTTCATAATATTGTGATTATAATCTGACAATTTTTGAATGCTGTCAATGGAAATTAAAGGAAAACAGAAGTTGAACAATCTATTCTGAATCATATTGAGAGAGAAATAGTTGAGTAAAGACTGATTTAATGATAAGGAAAACATTTTACAATAACCAACTATTTGTATTCTTTGTATGTTAATCTGGATAGCTGATAACAACTAGTTTTGGATAAACGGAAATCGTACATTTAATAGGCCTATTTTTAGTGTTCATTATAACTCATATTAAAATATGAACGTAGCTGCTCAAACAATCAACGAATAAGACAATAGTAAGCTATTTTTTATCTGAGTGATAAAAACTATCAAATCAACGTTCTTAATACATAGTTGAACGTATATAAATTAGGGAATTGGTGGTCTAGCTTCAATTGACTCATGATCTCAACTGTTTAAATTACTACAATCTCCACAAAACCCCTTCTGATACAATATAACCTTTTCAGGTGGTCCTAAGATGGCTCTTATTTAGTAAATACCAAGATATGATTAGGTATTTAACGATTTTGAAAGTGATTAAAAGCCTGTGGTTCATTGTTATCTGAAGTTTATACTGATGATGTCTTGGAAAACGATGAAAGCTTCATAAATGAATCACATAGCTCAGAGAACGTAATTTCAAAAAGCCGTTTTACAGAGCTACAAATCTTCTTCCTTATCTAGTAGTTGACAGTTCACTCCGAAGACAATATCACGATGATAATGCTATTCTAAGCTAAAATTACTGTTGAGCATTTCAAAGAACCCAAATACCATAATCAATGTACATAGTTCTTGTAGGTAGATCGGACATTTTGACTGATACTAAAGGATAACGAATCCAAATTTTCTAGAGGTGTTTTGGTCTCTGAGATAATTAGTTTAGTTATAAAACTCATCAGTAAGTACTCAGAAAAGAAACGAGTTATTATAATTACTCGATAATTGACTAACAGCTCATTCTGTCGACGTAGAATCCGGATGGTTGTTACCCAGAATTGTATCACCAACAGTTGCATGTCTGTCTTGGTTATTGATTCTCTTCATTTGAACTTTCGTCTCGTGGGTTTTATTACTGGCTGTTAGATTTGACCGATTTCGATACTTGATTAGAATGCAAGGCTTTTAAAAATTCTCTGTATTTCTTCGTATATCATGTGTTCAGTATTTCGACGCTTTCTCAGACTAACTCATTTCCACAGCTGTCTTTAAGAGAAACTTTATCGTTTCATTTTACAGGTAACTTATGTTTATGTATACGTAGACGGACTCAAATTTATCTTTTTGGCCGAAGTATAAGGTGAATATTTCGTATCACGTCAATTCATTGCCTTCGTATCTAAATATCATGTCTCCTGAAGTTTCTTGGCGAATTCATGATTACCTTATCACTACTACTATCCTGTAACTCCGCCTGGAGTCCCTCCGGGGGCTACTGCCGGTCCCAAGCCCGGATAAAGGAGGAGGGTTGGGCATGGGGTTAGCGTCCCCATCCCGTAGAAAACTAACTCGCTAAAAAAACGCTAACCAGAAAAAATTATTCAAACCTTTTAAACTCTGCCCTGGGAGTCAGAAGGTCTTCATTTAGAAGAATTATGACGCCTCATGATGAAAGCCGAATTCCTTCGGAAGTTACGAGGCCGATGCCCCTTCTGACAACCAGAGCGACCATTTATTTAGGTACATGGAATGTTCGTACAATGTGGGACACCGGGAGAGCCTTCCAAATTGCTGCAGAAATGAGAAGATACAACCTAGAGGTACTTGGGATCAGTGAAACACATTGGACACAAGTTGGACAACAACGACTAACTACAGGAGAGCTCCTGTTATACTCCGGCCATGAAGAAGAAAATGCACCACATACACAAGGAGTTGCATTGATGCTGTCCAAACAAGCGCAAAATGCACTTATAGGATGGGAATCTCATGGACCAAGGATCATCAAAGCCTCGTTCAAAACAAAGAAAGAGGGCATTTCAATGAACATCATCCAATGCTATGCGCCTACCAACGACTACAATGAAGACGCTAAAGATCAATTCTACAATAGGCTGCAGTCAATCGTCGAGAAGTGCCCAACAAAGGACCTGACCATTCTGATGGGAGATTTCAACGCCAAGGTTGGAACGGACAACACTGGATATGAAGACATCATGGGACGACACGGACTGGGAGAAAGAAACGAAAATGGTGAGAGATTTGCAAATCTATGTGCCTTCAATAAGCTGGTCATA